CTAGTGGGAGATCTTTAGGTCACTGGAGGCTGCTGCCCTTTTTGGGGCTCTTGGTACCTGGTGCCTTCCTCTTTCATTTGCTTCCTGCAATGAAGTGAGCAGTTCTGTTTTGCCATGCACTCCCAGCATGATGTGCTGCTTTGCCACAGGCCTAAAACAATGGGGCCAACTTAGCATGGACTGGAACTTTGGAAATCATGAGCAAAAAGAAATCTTTTCTCTTTATAAGCTGACTATCACAGGTACTTATGATAGTAATGGAAGGCTAAAACATATCCTTTTAAATATTTTATTGAAAACTGAACATTTTAAGTACTATATAATGTGTTCATGCTGGACATCATTCTCTTCCTCCTTATTGACTGCTAATTTTTACTTGTTGAAGACTGTAGCTTTTTTTTAGTGACTTTGAAATGATATTTGCAAAGTATATAGATCTCCTTGTGTATAATCATTGCAAAAATTTTCTTAATGTCTGGCTCCAAAAAGCTATTCTTTCTGATTACATCTCCTAGTAGTAGTAGGTGCTGCCACAGGAAGCCAGGGAGGGCTGAAACCAAAACGAGTCTGCACCAGTCTCTCAGGGAACTTCTAGACCAACCAGATGTACAAACCCCAATGTTTGGAGGACAAGGCACCATCCAGGTACTTCAGAAATGCTATTCCTACAGTTCCAGGTGGGGTGGGGACTGAGGAATGGATATGACAACTGGCTTCCATCTACTGTACTGTTCTCTTGCCAAAAATCAGTAGACTCTTTTTTCATTGAACACTTCCTGTTCCATCATTTTGCATGCTGTCCTCTTGATTTTTTTTTTGCATAAATCACTGGCATCTGAGAGACGGTAACAGTTTGTTATCATCTATTCCGGGTTCTACGCCTAGTGCTATAGATTTTGTAGTTTTGAGGAAGATGTCATCTTCATCCTTTGCAGGACAGGTTGATGTGTACAGAAAACCCATACTGTATGAGGAATAAAGATCAGCAGCATCTGAAGGGACATGCAGATGAAGTGCTATGGGAGTTTCATGGCAGAGACTATGCTCTTCTGAGCTTGGGGCTAAGAATGATCCTGTCATAGAATTGCAAGCTCCTCATCCGTCGTCCTCTATCAATTCCAAGGTCCATAAACAGGGCTGACACTTACCTTGGTCACTTCTTGCCTCCTATGCCCAATGGAGGGCCTGATTCATGGAAGGGGATGAACAAATATTTGGTGAAATTTACCTTTGTTTTATTAAAAGTGTTTTGGGGTAGCTGATGTTTTCTTGGATAAGAGATTAAAATTTGACAGATTTTAGAAGGATGGCACTATTACCATTTGGCTTTTATATTTGTGACGGTCTTGCCAGGTGTGGTAGCACACGCCTGTAATCCCAGCACTTTGGAGGCTGAGGCAGGAGAACTGCCACAAGTTGGAGGCCAGCCTGGGCTACATAGCAAGAGACTGTCTCAAAAAACAACAACAAAAAACCCCGAACAAACACCTCATATATTTGTGATGGTTTTTGTTCTTCAGGAAAACCTCGAGGCAGAGCATTATTCTCACCTCCACTGGGGAGGTGAAATTCAGGGTTGGTTGGTTGTCTATGGCTTCTCAGCAGGTAAGTGGTAGAGATGGGGCCATAGGGTGGTTCTGATTAGTTGTAAAGTCCAAGTCTTTTTGCTGCCACATCTGTACTTGCTATGTTGAACAGGAAACATCTAACACAGACTAGTCTGCTTTCTCCTGTTTAAACAGAACAGCCTGTGAGCCTGTGCAGTGCTTGGCTCTTGTTAAGGCCACAGAGCAGAGACCAAGAAAGGACTGGGCAGTATGGTAAGGTCTCTGCTCTAGTTAAAGCAGCAGCAAATGTTCCCTGAGTGTGAATGTTTGCTCCATCTTTGCCTTTATGGAGCTGGCGGTCTACTGCTGAGAGGTGATCACAAGGATGACACTCATCATTCTAAAAAGTGACAAGTAGCTGGGCATGGTGGCACATGCCTGTAATCCCAGCACTCAGGAAGCTGAGACAGGAGGATCACTGCAAGTTTGAGGCCAGCCTGGACTACATAGTGGGACCCTATCTCAAACACACACACACACACACACACACACACACAAAGTGACAAGTGTTATGAGACAAATGTAAATAGGTGACAGTGGATGCTTAGAGAATGAGGAGGGGCTTCTGTAGACTGGGTATCAGGCAAGTCTCTTTATTTGAATTGAGGCCTGCGTGACACAAAGGAGTCAACTATGCAAAGATCTGGGAAAAGTATAGCATGCATAGGGATCAGCAAGTGCAAAGATCCTGTGCCAGGGACTAGTCTGGCATGGCTGAAGAAGAAAGAAACTGTTATAGTTGACATGACTGACAGGTGACTTGCAAAGAAGTAGGGAAGGTGGGTCAGATAATATACAATTCTAGTAGGGTATCTGGATTTTATTCTAGTTGCAGTGGGAAACCATGGAGGGGTGCTAAAAGGGAGAATAATATGATCTGATTAATTTAAAAGCTCATTCAAGGTGTTAAGCAGAGAATAGAGGGGGTATGTGTGAATCAGATGTCTCTGGCTGACAGTGGTAGAAAATTGAGTATATATAGTGATGTATGTATACCCATGTTTATAGTGGCAGTTTGAAACAGCTAAATATTGGAAACAGCCCAAATGCCCATCAACCGGTGACTGGATAAAGAAGATGTGGCTTTTTATAAAATGGAGTACTACTCAGCCATAAAGAAAGATAAACTAGTCATTTATAGCTTAATGGATGCACCTTGAGGCCATACTCTTAAGTGAAATAAATAGGACACATATGTGTAAATACTGAATTGTTTCTGTGGTGTGAGAAACTGAAAGTGTAAATGAGGACCAAAATGTATAATAGATATTGTAAAATAGGAAGAAAATGCTCAAAGGGGAAGAGGAATGGGGGTGGGGTGGGGAGGGAAGGGAATGAAGGGAAAGAAAAAATAAGAAAAGAAGGAAAAAATGGAAACAAAGCTTTTGTAAATAGGGAAGGATGGAGGGGTTGAAGGGAGGGGAGGAGAGGGGAATGGGAAAAAATAAGAACCAAGAGAGATTATGTACAGGTACAAACTCCCTATGATGAATGTGATTATAATGTATGCCTAAAATGTACCAATAAACTTAATGAATACAAAAATGAAATTAAATTTAAACAAAGAAGAAAAGTGGGTATAAACTTCCTTGCTCAGTGAGAAAGCTTACTGGTCTTTTAAACCAGAAGTCCAGAGGCAATGCAGACTTCTGGTTTGGTTGATTCAGTCCCAAATCAACTGTGTGATGTGTTCATGGACTCAAGTTCGGTCTCTTGGCTCTGCTGGCCATAGGATGAACTTCATTCCAAGTCTTAGTGGTGCCCAGGACGGCTACCTGGAACACACGGGGCTTTCTGCTTTGTACTTCTCCACCAGGGGATGAGTCCAAATGAAAGCACTTTCAAAGAATGAGGGAGACCTTTCTCAGAAGCCTCCAGAAACCTTTATGTGGTGTCACAAGATCTTTCTTGAAGCAATCACTTCTGAGGGAAGTGCTCTACTCTTCAACTGCTGCTAGGGATGGTCAGCTTCCCACCTGCACAGGGATATGTGAGCTAGGGTTGAGTGCCTCAAAGAGGAGCCAAAGGCTGACAGCCATGTCCCTTACAGGGGCTGCAGTGAAAACAATGGGACAAGAAGTAGCTACCGAGATGGCTGAGGATGGAGAGATGATGATGGTGCTAGAGGAGGTGGTAAGACCAGTAAAATCTAGATTGTGTTTCCGAGGTAACCACAGATACGCATCCAGGAAAGACAGGAATTAAAATTTATTGTTTCCCCAAGTTGTCCTTGCTTTTATTCTTTGACACAAATTGAAAAAGGGTGGATCTGGACTTAGAAGCTGGCCAGGGCTGAGGGAAGAGAAACAGGTGCAAGGAGACACACCAAAGTGTGAAATGTGCAGGTACCTTGCAGCCAATTCCTAACTGTACAAGGCCGAAGGCATAGGATCCATTCCCACTGTTAGGGCCTGGAGCGGAGTTAGCACAAAGCCAGTCCATTTAGTAAGGTTATTCGGAGGTCTGCTGTGTACAAAGTGTACAAGAAGAAGAGGGCACAAGACTTAGAATAAGGAGGTAAACTGGACGTGGTGGCGCATGCTTGTAATTCCAGCAATCTGTGGTGGGGGTGAGGCAGGAGGACAGCAAGCTCAAGGGCAGCACGGGCAACTTAGAAAGACTCTGTCTCAAAATAAAAAATAAAAAAAGGTCTGGAGATGAAGTTCAGTGCAAAAGTCTTGGTTTCAATCTTCAGTATTTATCTCTCACACATACAAAAAGAAAAAGTGAAGGCGAAGTTTTCCTTAGAAAATCTCTTATGTAGCCCATACACACTGTAACACTGTGATATTTAGCAACTTTATGGAAAAATTCTAGTGTGTACACTAATACATATGCAAAATATAATTGTATATTTTAATTCATTAAAAAGGCATTGGAAAGAGTTGAACTTGCTAAATTTTAATGTGCTTACGAAACAGCTTCGGCGCACGAACTCAGCTCCCCGCGTGAGATGCAGCGCTGAGCGACTGGGAGAGTACGGCTGGCACCTGAAGTCTGCGCGCTCCAACGCTCCCGCGCCCGGGCTTCGCTAGAGCGCGAGCTTCCGGAGCGCAGCAGAGGCGGACAGCCGCGCCCACGTGACTGCGGGGCGGGGCCTGCGCGGGGTGCGCGCGCTTCTTGACGTGCCGCGCGGGGCGGGGAGAGGGGCGGGGCTTGCTGGGAGGCGCGGAGGAGGCGCGGCCGCCTCGGGACGCATGCCTGGGCCCGGCTACCGGAGGAGCGCCTTCTGCTCTCGACGGCCGGCCTGGTGCTCTGAGCCCGCGGCAGCGGCGGCGGCGGGCGGCATGCGCGTGTGAGATGCGGCCGCGGGCAGCCCGGACGCGAGCAGCGACCCCCGCAGTGGCGGCGAAGGCGGGCGCGGCCTCCTCGGTGCCGGGCGCGCGGTGCATGAGGGAGAGCACGCGGGCGCAGGGCAGCCGCCGGCCACGCCGCTCCCATAAACACTTGTTTAGGACTCGTTCGCCTCGCTGAGGTCCCCGGCTGCCCAGGCATGGAGCCCCCGCCAGACCCCCACCCCCCCGCCTCGGCCGCGGCGCCTCTGCGTGCCCCGGAGGTGGCGCGACTCTGCGAGGAGCAGGAGAAGGTAACAGGCCGCGCTCCTTGCGCCCCGCTTCCGCCCGGCCCGCGGTCCTCGGCTCGGCCCCCGGCGGACCGATCCCCCCCGGCCGCCCCTCCTGCCCTCCGTGGGCCGCAGCCCCTCGGCCTAGGGCCAGCGCGTCCCCGACCCGGCGCGCAGGAGGAGCGCAGCCTCCAGGCCTCGGGAGCTAAAGGGTTGGGAGAAACTTTTGTCACGTGCGTCTGTTTTTTTTTTTTTTTTTTGGTCTGGAGCCCTCTGACCTTGGAGCGGAGGGGAGGGATAGGGTAGAGGGAGGTGACAGTCCCTTTAATGTGAACGTAGAAGTACATTTTTGAAAAAAATGCATACAAGAAGAGAACGTGGGAATTTGGCGAGGTGCGCTGTAAGTGAAAGTGTTCACCTTGCTTTAAGCTTATGATCTAAGTGTTGCTAAAATGTATACTGTTACTCATTATTTACAGGTAAACGTTTTACTGTGTTTGTTACGATACGCTTTTTGTGCAAGCCCAGCCTTGAGGTTTAGTACTTGACAAAGTAAAATGTCTTTTTGTTAAATTTAAATTTTAGTCGTATAATAGATGAGTTGTAAACTACCAGGGAAGGGAGGAGAACGGTTTGCGTTTTCTAATGCGGTTGTATGTAGGTAAGTATACTCGATTGAGAAATACAGTTTTGTTGTTAAATTTGAAAAATTTCCGTGGATATTTGTGGTATTTCAGGTTGATTCTCTCTTCTGCTGTATCTTAAAGTTCTTTGAAAAAATAACATTTACCCAGACTTGGTTGCACACGCCTGTAATCCCAGCACTTGCCTGTTGTAATCACAGCATTCGGGAGGCTGAGGCAGGAGGATCACTATAAGTTTGAGGCCCTTTTGAACTACCTAGCAAGACCTTGTCTTAAAAAAAGCAACGTTAATCTACTTAAAGCTTTCCAGGTCATATTGGTAGAGAATATCATGGATTTTAAACAGAAAATTGCTTCAAAACTATGAAGATTTGAGAATCCCTAACTTTTTCTATGGAATATTCCTGTGTGAAAATGACTAGTACTTACAGAGGCATACAGATATACAGACCTCAACTTGATGAGGATTTTCATAGACCCCAAGATACCCTGCTTTGGTTGGAAACCACTTGTTGGGGTAAACTGGGGAAATCTTTCCTACTTTGTTTAGATTGGCTCAGTTATTTTTTGCATTAGATTTCCTTTTGGGAGCCATATTTTTTCTTAGTATCATATTTAATTTTAGTTTTTAAACTTGGTGACTTCTTTCCAAGGTGGGAGCTTTTTAAAAATTCACCTCGTGTAGGTGTTTAAATTACAAGACATTAATATGTCTTTTATTTCTTAAAGAAAAAATTGAAAAGGAAAGAAGAAAGAAGAGTTAGATGGTCCTGAAAACTTGTTCCTTTTTGACCAAACTATTTACATTTTTGTTGTTGTTAAATAGAAAATGTGAAAAAGACCTTCAGAAGATGGTGTTTCCTTTGCCTGTAATCTATGGTGGAATTACTTTCATCTCTTTGGTAACATAGCGTGTGCTTAATTCTGGCTGATAAGTTTTCTCCCATTTGGCATCTTTAAGAGATGTCGTTGGTTTTATTCTGATGTCAGCATGGCTGAAATACGAAGGATACTTTACGGGGTGCTCTGAACAGCTTTTTGGTATGGTGTCCGCTTACATTTGAAGAAAGAAATTGCTTTTGCAGTTACATTACAGACCAGTGGAAAACTGAATCCTTGTTTTCAGTGGACATTGACCATAATACCAAATTATTTGTTTATGTTGTGTTAATGTTACTTTGGCACATAAAATAGCCATTCATACCTGTCATGGGTAGTGAAATTACTGCTTCCTGATAAAGTGCCTCAGTAAAGAGATTATTTAATAGAAGCATCTACTTTAGTAGACAGAATACCCATAAAGCCACAAAATATATTGGTTAGATAGCTATGCTTTAATTATAGTTTAATACAGGAAGTTTATCGGGTAAATAGTGAATTAAATGTGTTTGTGAGGGACTTTAGGATTTAAAGCCAGTTCAGTTTTGACAGTACATAGTGGTGTGACATTCTGAATGTATAAAGACAAATATGTCATAGTATATCATATTAGTGTGTCAGTTAGTATTCCTTTATATAAAGGCTTTTCCCATTGTAGATTCCCTCAGAGAAAATGAAACACTGAAGAAATTGGCTTGAATGACTATTTTCTCAGTTTTCCCTGGGATGAGGCCTAGCTAGCTGGCTCTAGATGTAGAAGAGAGAAATGAATTCATCAGATACAGTGGATAGGCTTAGGGCATAATTTTCTCTGGGAACCTTGAATTATGTTGAGAAGGGCTGCTAGATAGTAATGTGGTTTAAATGTTGCTCATAATTTTTTTTCTAATTGTGACAAGTTTTACCATGGTATCTGTCCCGTTTTTTCCTTGTTCATCTGCTCCAGCACTGAATAAAAAGCATACAAAATTGGCAACTCGAGGGAAACAACAAACCGGGCACGAATGAACCACAACCGCAGTGTGACACATCTGAAGTAAACACACAGGATCAAATATTTTATTAGTTTTTACTTTCACTTTTAGAGTCAATGCTGAAACATTTTCAAGAAACCTTTTTATTAGTTTAAACTTCGGTTTTTTCCTTTTTTGATCTAGCAAAAAGTCATAAGAAAAGTTCTCTGTAACTTTGTTTATAATAATGAAAAAATAAAAATCTGACGGGATTGATTAAATAACTTATGAAACATAATGATTAGCTATTATGGAGGCATTAAAAACTGTAGAATGTTGTGTATAGCATGGTTCCAGTTTATGTGTATAAATATTCACATGTATTTGTATTAGAAAACATACCGTTGTTTTAAAGCGCAACTTTACCTAAAGGTTTGTGCAGTTGGATGAGATTTTAGTTTTTCAGTTAAGGATATTGGTAATATTTATTTAAATTTTTTATGTAAATTTGGATGTTGTACAGTATCAATTGCTAAATACTTTCTGAGCCTGAACAATGCCGTGGCTGGTTTGAATATCAGTTAGGCAGGTTTATTTCTTAGTTACTCCACAGCTGACAAAATTTATTGAAACATTTCCCAGTTCACTTCCTTTATTCCCACTTCAAAGGTTTGTTTAATCTTTATTGTCTTACAAAAGATACAAGAAGAGGAAAACTTGGATCATCTTTTTAAACTAAATATTTTTTTTCAACAGCATTAAACTATAGTATTTGATTTTTTTAAAAAGTAAGCTGCTTAGGAGCCTGTGTACACTGACCTATGCCATAAAGTACAGAATCTAGGAAGGACTGTTGAGGAAAGTCTTTGGCTGTTCTTAGTGGTTTTCTTGTACTGAGATCATATTAAGTTGGATTCTGTCTTAGAATTGAATTATGTTGAAATTTGGTTTCTTGGCTGAGGTGATATTTCTGGGATATCTTTTATATCTCCTGATAGTATTTTTTTATTATTTGAATTATTAAGATTTCATTATACTATGAAAAAAGTGGAATATAGTATGTTTTCATGAAAAGCTTATTTGTAGGATAATAGTAAGAATGGAAAACTTATTAAGACTATTTCTTTATTATTGAGTGCCTAATGTATTTCTCATTTTGAGTTTTGAATTAGCTTACACTTTCCTGATAATAGAACATTGGAGAATTAAATGCATTAGAAGTAAATATTTTAAATTATTTTTAAAGTAGAATTGCTAAGTTAGTTGGAGGCTGCTCATATTTATCATGATAAACTAAACCAGATAGTTTAAGGATCTGTTAGCCATGTACTTTATTCAACAAGTACAAGCTGCTCCCTCCAAGCTGGGACTCCAAGTCATAAAATTTATTCAGCACACTTACTGAGTATGCCTTGCATGTTCTGCTAGCATGCAGTAATGAACAAACTAGAGCAAAGGCTTGCTTTCATGGAGATTGCTGGAGTAGTGAACACACGCAGTAGGTACATTTAAAATGTCTGATATGTGATAGATAAGACCAGGTGAATCAAAGAAGGCAAGGGAATTCTAAGGAATACCTCTTATGTAAGGAGTCAGGGAGGGTATGTCTATCACAGTTTCACTTAATTTTTCAGTTGAACACTTTGCTTCTAGTTTTTGCCTAGAATTTTCTCGGGATATTTATGTCTTCAGCTTTATTTATAATGCTGTTTTCCAAAGTGGTTATACCAGTTTACAACTCCTGCCAGCAGTGTTGAAAGGTCCAGCTAGCTACTTTCACATCCTTAACACCATTTGGTATTACCAGTCCTTTTCGTATTTGGTAGCCATTCTAGTAATAACTGATGAGGTTGATCACCTTTCCCAATGCTTATTGGCTGTTTGGATTTTTAATAAATGCCTGCTGAATTCTTGTCCATTTTCACTTGGAATGTTTGCCATGTTCTAGTTTACTGATAGTAATTCTTTGTGTATTTTTGATATGGGTACTTTTTCAATTATTGGTTGTAAATTTGTCCCCAACTCTGTGGGGTTGAGTTGACATGTGATAATGATGTCTTTGTTGAACTGAAATTCTTAATTTTAATTATATTCTTCATGGCTGGTGGGCCTTCCTTCCCTCATTGCTCCCTCCTCAGCTCTCCTCCTCCTGTGCTGGGGATGGAACCCAGGGCTTCATACATACTAGTAAGTGCTCTGGCACTGAACTGTATGTCCACCCCTGTCTTGTTTGTAAGAAGTCTTATGAATGTTCTGAACGTATCCGTATGTTATCTTCTAGAAGGTTTATTGCCTTGCCTTGCATGTTGAAACAGTTAATTTTGTATAAACCTAAGGTTTTTCGTCTGTGAAAACTGAAGAATAAATTTGAGAACAAAAAGGAATTTAGGGGAGTGTTTATTAGAAATAATAGTAAGAAAAAAGCTCTTGATTACTCCCCCACAAAGAGAGAAAAGAAGTCCAATTAGGAAGCTTTGTCTTGGCCTAATATAGATGGGTGGGGAGGGGATGGGAGGCTCACTTTAAAGGAGATGAGTTCAAAAAAGAA